TGTTGATTGGGACGCAGACTATTGAGTCACTACAGGGAGGTCCATAGGCTTTCTTATAATGTTCAAAACCTTCATATATACGTTACACCTTTTAATCGATTCTGACTTACTGTTGCCTTTAATCTGTCGGAAGTGGATTGCTTTAGAATGGTTTTGGGTGTTTCCTTTGTAGGGTAGCTTTGGAAAAAACTCAGACAGCCCATCAGCTGCTGCAGATGCTGATGCTTCTGATGTGCAGTCAGTAGATTCTAGCTTATCAAGAAGAGGCACCGGAACAAATAAGAAGGATACGGTTTGTCAGGTAGGTGGCATCCTAGTAAACAGATGCATCCTCAAATGATAGGTCTTCTACCAGAGTAGAAACCTTTTCAAAATTACGCAGCTGTGTTTTGAGCAAGTCTGTTAATTTGACACTGGATATCCTGAAAAAGATAGAAAGTCTGGGAATGGTTTGTGTACGTTAACATGCCTCAGTTCATGGAAAACGCAGTCTAGTCTCTACTGGCTAGTGGCACTAAATAAACAAGATGCTGTGTTATCTTCTCTGTGAAGATGCTAAAGTCTTTCAGAGTAAAACCAAGTGAGACTGTATTTTAAAGCATTCAGGCCAATAGGAGATGCAGGCATGTGTTAAGAGTTGAGGTTTACATCCGAATCCAAAAGACTACCAAAGGGTGGATGCTAACTTAATTTATTAAGAATGAGAGTACAGGCAGTCCACAGACTTGTGAGGCAGTTGGGTCTTAAGTCGAAACATTGTAACTCGGAACCAATTCTCTTATAAGAAACAATGTTATAAATGGGGGCTTGGTTCCTGAACCAAGACCCGATACCTTATTTTCACCAAAAATACCCCAGAATTTTGTACTCTGTCAATTATAGGTGAGTAATATAGCTACATTAATGTATTTATATTGTAAATAGCAATTATTGATTGGAAAGGACTTCTTTGAGGTGACTTTGCTGGACTTTTTGAAAGTTGGACTTTTTGAAGGGTTCTTGGCTGGAGTCGTGGCTGCAGGTATTTCTGGAGTCTCATCTGCTTTCTTAATGGCAGCGTCCAAGGAAATTTGGATGGATGTTCTCCAGGGAGATGAGCGACGCAGCGAACTTGTTCGCTGGCGTGGCGTCACATCAGATCAAGCGTTGTAAAGCTGAAACTGATGTCATAAAGTTGAAACGGTGTCAATTTATAAACGTAAGTGTGAAATGTTGTAACTCTAAACGTTGCAAGTTGAGGACTGCCTGTACTTTTGTTAGAGGGAACAGATTCAGCCACTGCTGAAAGAATCCTCCACTCAATATCAGCAGATCTGTTGAGGGGTTTTGGCCAACAATCCAGTATTGTTCTGAAGTCAGGAGTGTCATGGCAGGATGAGGCTTCAGCCAGTGTGTATTGCCTTTGCTTTCAGCTCTGTGACTTGCCTATATTAAATCATTTCAGCTGCTTTATCTTTTCGCTTCCTGTCTGTCTGTTTTAAGATCTGTGAGAGCTCTGGTGAGTCTTTGGTGTCCTGCGAAGGAGAATGCTGCAGTGTCTTTCACATGGAGTGCCTGGGGCTGACATCAATACCTGACGGGAAGTTCGTCTGCACAGAGTGTAAAAATGGTAAATGCATTGCTGTGCCTGAGTGAGGATTATTGATTACAGTGGTTGGAGGAAGCTTTGGTAACCATTCCTCAGTAAATAACGTTCAAGGACATCCTCCTAATCTCTCCTTGATTTCCCCTAAGACAAAGTGGCTAACGGTTCAGGGCAGAGGCTCTCTCGTGTTTTGCCTTTGTGTAGCACTTAGCACAAGAGAGCTCCAAGCTTGACTTGGGGTAATACCGATCAGATGATTAATATATACCATAGTAATGCATGATTAGTTATGTAGCGAGGAGTATATTCATTACATTAACTTCAGGGGACTTGATTGTCTGCTCAAGTTGCAAACTTGCCTTGCAGAAAATAACGAATGTTAATTTTTTACGACTGTTTCCTTTCTTTTCCTAAAAGGTGAACATACATGCTTTTCCTGCAAGATTCCTGGCAAAGATGTGAAGCGGTGTTCTGTCAGCACCTGTGGTAAATTTTATCATGAGGCCTGCGTTCGTAAGTTTGCCACTGCTGTCTTTGAGTCACGAGGATTTCGTTGCCCACAGCATTGCTGTACTGCCTGCTCCATGGATAAGGACCTCCACAAAGCAAGTAAAGGTGAGAACGCAGTTAGGTTCAGGCAGTATCGAGAAACTGCAACTTATGACGATGAAATGAGGAGCAGAAAATAATGATACAGTAGGCAGGGTGAGGACGTGTGTTACTAAGGTGTTCGTGTTTAGTTTGGCCGTTGGTACATTGGGTTATTTGAGAAACAGTTTGGTTTTGATGGGGCTATGTTAACAGCAGCTGCTGAACGCATCAAAATAGTTTCTGCGGTATTTGGACTCATTTGGCTGCAAAGCCTCTGGCATTCAGTTTCAACAACTGGTCAAGTGTACGCACATGGCTGAAGTACATTTTAAGCAGGTAGACGGCAATGGGCTATGCAGCAGCAGTCAAAACCACCACTGTTAGAATGGCTAGAACCAAGTGGGGTTTCTCTTCATTTAAGCTGAATACCCCCCACATCAAAGTCAACAGCAGTTTTCTGAAGGGAGAATAACACCAAAGTTGCATCCCTCCGTGGTGTATGCTGTCATATCCTAATTCCACTGTGACATGGTGCATTTTTTTGCATTTATATTAAACAGGTCGTATGGTGAGATGTTTGAGATGTCCCATTGCCTATCACTCAGGAGATGGCTGTATTGCTGCAGGAAGCTTGTTTGTGTCATCCCACATTCTCATCTGTAGTAACCATTCCAAAAGGAATCACTCTTCATCAGCTGTAAATGTAGGCTTTTGTTTCGTTTGTGCAAGAGGTGAGCAGTACTATTTTTTTCCTTCCATTTAATAGCTGGTATGGTCATTGGTACAGTTAAATGAATAAACTGGGATATCTTACCAAGTAACATTTTTTTTTCCCCCCTCTTGGGGCTCCTCGATTTTCATGCTTCCTCTTGGGTTTTGGGGGATAGGAAGTGCACGTGATTTTTCATTTATTCCTCACTAGATTGTCATGTACCTATTTTGGCCTTTAACGTATGGTATTACCACACAAATTTGAGGTGCTGAGAAGACATCCATATATTGCCAGTTGGCAAAACCAGTAGAGTCCCCAGTTGCAACTGAGCATGTCATAGTATTGTTTTACTGCCTCTTCAGCCTCATTATGAACTGCAACTAATGAGGCATCTTTTAGCTGATGGATGATATTTGTTTATAGCCTAGAGAATTTATTTATTTCTTTTTTTACATCTAGCTCCCATTAAGTTTGAGACTTTTTTTGTTTGTTTGTTTTGTGTTTGTGTTGGAAGAGTACTACACCCAGTGCCACCTAAATAAATAAAACACTGATAAGAAGGTAGTTTTCCATTTGCTTCAGCTATTATTTTTCTTTTCCTTTGACACCACAGCAAGCTTGTCAGTTGCTTAACTTGAACTTCTGGCAGAAGGCAAGATAAAATGTTCCACTCACTTTATTTTACTTTGGGCTAAAAAGCACAATGCAGAAATCTCTCTACTGTGTTCTGTGAAGGGTGTGAGAATCAATTGGAACTATAGAGAGTGAGTAATGTATGAAATGCAGTACTTCAGAAAGTTTGCACTCAGTGCATCATGTGTTTCAGCAGTTCGAGACTCGCTAGTAAAGGAGGTGAAATACACGGTGGCTTTGAAATCCACCTGCATGTGCAAGAACAGAGCAGTAGATACAGGACCTAGGAAAAGGGTGAGGGAGCCAGAGTCAGGTGCTCTCCCTGTTCAGAAGTAGAGTGCAGGAGCAGTCGCAGAGGATCAAGGTAAATGGAGACAAAGTTCTTGCCCTTTTAAATGCATCTAATTTTTTCCAGAGAAATGGCGTCCGGAGGCTCAGAGGGAAACAGTAAGTTTTAGAACGCTGAGCCTGAGAGGGGCTCTCCAAGGGTGTGGACCAAAGGTGCTTGCAACACGGTTCAGTGCTTTTCCATAAATCAGCCTGTCTTAGTATTTTGGGACAATTCCCTAAGCAGTGTATATGTTGGGTGTAGTCACATGGGCATGGCACGAGCATACACACATGCCAACCTGTGATTGTAGCATGTGGTTTTTATGCTCTTGTATTGCTAAGTTTTTAGGTAATGTCTTGATTTAACATTAATTTTGATTCCGATTTCATTAGCATATGTAAAAGTATACCACCTGAACAATTCTAATTATCCTATTTCTGAATTTTATAAGCAACAAAAACCTGTGTATATGTATCCAGAGGTGCTTTTGTTAGACACCCATAAGTGTTGAGAACTATTTCTAGCTTGCTCTTTACATTAAGAGTTTAACAAACAATTATGTCCAGATGTGCAGGAAAAACACAGGGGGAGGAAAAAGTCTTGCATAATGTTGTCAGCTGAGAATGTGCTGGAACAAAATCCTGCTGTAGGTAGAGCAAATGGGTAAAACTAAACTTCAGGATTTTATGCCAGTTGCTTAGGACTAGTCTGATGCTGGACTTGGGTATAGGAGTGTGAAGAACCAGCTTCTGAGACTTTCTATTGATGACTGAGCAGTCATCCTAGATATTCCTCTTAAAAAGTCCAACAACAGCTTCGCTCTGAGACGAAAGATTTAGTTAAGGGGAACTTCCAGTTGCCTTCAACTGTTGTTGCTTTGCTTTGTGCATGAAGAGGTAGGTCATTGGGGTCTGTCTAGGCACTGCTTGGAACAGGTTTACTTAAAGGCATTAAGTTTAGATGGTCTGTCAGTTGCTACATATGAAGGGCTCTGTGCTTTGACTGGGATCGTAATGAAATGTAATTATATGCTTCCAGAATGGAGGATCACTGGTTAATCTGGGGAGTGCCTGTAGTCTGTTGCAATTGTGTCTGCTCTGCGTACCATTTTTAAGCTCTGGTACTAGGGTATTCGGCTATTTCGTATTATGTGGTACTTGTGTTTATGGAGTCACAGTGCATAGACTTTGTCAGGACTTGGCCATTTTGGTGCTTATCGCAGTAAAGCCCTTGAGTGCTGTTTTCCAAGGTGTTGTCCATGTGTTCAATGCTACACAAATACAAAAAGTAAGCAGCTTCTCTGTCTGTGAGGTTAATACTGTTATCCTATAGGTGGGGAACCCAAGCTGTTCCTCGGCAAGCATTTGGATTTTATTCAGCACGCGCAGCAGAAAGTAGAAGTTTGGGCTAGGCTTCCAGATTTGCGTAGTCATTGCCCAGTAGCTTAGAGAGAGCCTCCCCTGCTGTTACCCTGACTGCATCGGAGAGAATGGAGGTGCAGACCTGGCGTGCCTGCTGCTTTATGAAAAAAAATAAATAAAAGCAAGGTAGAGGGGAGAAGTCCTTACCTCCTTCAATTGACTTCATTTTGACAGTGGTGTAACTTTGTAGCTGGAGATACAGCTGCTTGGAAGTTGAGCCCTAACTCTGCACAAGACTACGCTTTCTGTTAACAATAGAAGAACCGTATGAGCATTGCATAGATTAAACTTTCCAGTCCTGTACCTTCACTGTTCCTTAACTTACTCTTTATAGAAAGTTTACAACGTGAATTGGCAAATAAATGAAGTCCCCATGTACCATAGCAGTATGACATGGGTCTCTTAAGTTTTGATAGGGACTGGCTTCTATACAGGGCAGCTGGAAGTGGGAGTGCACCTTGCACATCATCATCATTCAGCAGCCCACCTGGCAGCATTAGTAGGCTCAGACAGAAGCCAGCGGGTCAGGATGGTCGGTGTGAAGTTAAGAAGGAACTGGTGAAACTCTGGGGTATGGCAGGAGTGCTGAACCCTTAAATTGAGAATAAAACATATTAACATTCGGTTGCCTACATATGAAAACAGTGCTAGCTGTCTCTTAGCACGCTACTTGGTATTGGAGGGAAGAGCTGTGTTTTTTCAGATGTGGTGCCTTCTTTAGAAAGACAAAAAATGTAGGTGTCAAAGTACCAGCAGACTATTTAACTCATCCCATGCAACTGGGGGCCCCCATGTTTTCTTGTCCAAATTCCACAGTTACCACTGTGGAATATCTCCCCC